CGCGCAGGCCTTTGCCTCTCCTTCCCAGCCGACGCGCGCTGCGCGCGCGGGCGCGCGGCCCGCCCCCGAAGGTGGCTCGAGGCACGGACCCGCCTCCGAAGCGGCAGCCGGCTCCGGCCTCACCAGACGAAGCCATTGCAAAACGTGTCACGCCTGGTGCGTCTCTGCGAAGGCCCGGTCTGCCCGGTCCAGGACGAACTCGAGAAGGCGCTGCGCAGCAGCCGCCTTCAAGCTAAAACCCTAAACCCTAAACCNNAACCCCAACAAGCCCTAAACCCCAAGCCCTAAATCCCAAACCCAAAACCCAAAACCCGAAACCCTAAAAGGCTGCCATCTTTAGCCCGCCTTGGGCCGCAGGCGGAGTCGCAGCCGCAGTCGGAGAAGGCCCTGGCAGCCCTGGCCCTTCCTTCTGCCCTTCGAGATTAGTACTATTAAATTATCATTATTATTCTAATCATTACAATTATTACAATTTACTATTCTTGTGTTTATTATTACGTTTTTACTATTATTACTATTGTTGTTACTATTATTATTATTGTTATTATCATCAGTATAATGACGACTATGAGAATCTTTCAAGCCCTCTGTGGCCGCACAGGGGGCGCAGCCGCAGCGGGAGCCGAGGCCTGGGGCGGATCGAAGGCCAAAAAGTGCATGGCAAGGCCCCCAGCGGAAACCCTCGCGGCAGGCAGAGGCAAAAGGAAAGACCGAAGTCCAAGCATGAGCTCCAGCAGGCCGACGGGGGGCAGCGAAGCACTTCTAGAAGCAACTGGGCCACCTTTTCGCTTGCTGCTGTGGGCTCCGGTCCGATTGCGGTTTTGTGCCGCTTGCACCTCTTGTCCCCTTTGCCGTGTTTCCATGCCTCTCTCTGGTGTCTTGCGCCGTCATCGACTGATCCTACAGCTCGAGGAGCCCGAGCCGCACCGCCAAGCGAGGCGCATCTGCTGCCTCTCCTGCCGTCTCTTCTCTCTCTTTGTTTTTCTCTCTTCCTTCTCTCTCTCTTCTCTCTTCTCTCTCTCTGGACCTGGCGAGGGAGGCGCTGACGCAGCCTGGCTTCGCGGCCTCGAAGCTCTGAACGGAAGCCTCGCATGTGCAGCTCTACATGGCCAGCGAAAAAAAGGAGCTCTCAGACACGATATGTATGTCTCATGTTTTTATAGGAAACCCTTATTGCGGAACCCACCGGAAAACCCGAAGCTTCCTAAAAAAACGCATCTCAAAAAATCGGATTTCTCCTCTTGGGGACAGGTCGCACTGCCTCTTTACCGTGGTGATCGAGTCGACCTCCAGCTCCAGCATCAGGCGGCAAGCCGGGCTCCGAAGAGAAAGCCCTGCGTTTCTCACTAGTTCCGAAAATTAGGGTACCTTCTTTTGGGGTCCTTACAATAAGGATCCTACTATTTAGGGTACTATATTAGGGTCCCCTATTTTCGGAAACCCCCATATCTCGACATATTTTTTTTTGGAATGCTGAGAGGCTTCCAGGTGTGTACGTTCAACTCTCTGGCACGTAGGATCGGTGAGGACTCCTTGGAGCTTTCCGATGGTACAGCCCACTCAGCGCCTGTGGAGCTGGGGGGGTGATGCTTGCGGGTCGGAGTGCGCCAGCGCCGCCGCTCGAGCTCTCTCGAGACCTGGAGCCTTGCCGCTCAGTTTGCCTACGGAAACGGTGCCACGGGACCCACTGGCTGACAGCCCAGAGGTTGACAAGCCTGGTTGGTGCCACCTTGCTTGTGCAGACGTCTGGGCACAGACGGACATCTCGGGGACTCCAGCACTCCAACCCCACACGTAAACCCTGCAAAGAGGGGGTATGCACCAGCAGCCTGCATGACCGCCCGGTCCCGCATACCGCATACATTATTAAGCCCGCAAGACCTCCCACCTGAAAACCACGGCGGCTTGCAAAGCTCAAGGGCTTGAGTTCATTTCCTTGGTCGCGGAGGCCCGCGGCTAGGACCCTTGCACCTGGAAGATGGCTACGCCATTGGCGCTGCAGGAGGATGTACCAAGCCTTGGCGATCTCTGCGGGAGAACGCCAGGGCTGTGCTTTGCTTTCTCGAATGAGACGCCTGCCGACGACTTGTCCGGAATTGTTTGCGGCCCGCCTCTGCACCGCATTCGGGATGTGATGCGGCACTGTTGCTTTCATTGAGAGCCTGGCAAGCCTTGGCTTCGCGTTCAGTTCGGTGACGTCTGGACATATTAGAGTGGCCTGCCCCTTGCCAATGCTGCTGTGCATGTTTCGGATCCGCATGTCCCTGGCCAGGGATACAGACCCAGATGTCCGCCGAGGGAAGCTGGTCTTGGTGGACTTGGCCGGGTCCGAAAGCTTGAAAAAGGCCAGTTGCTCAGTTTACTCTAGGGATGGATTCTCGGAGTCTGGGCGTTTGCTGACAAGGGCAGGCATCAATATCCGAATCCGTCTGAAAAGAGTCAGAGAGCAGCGATTGCAGCGAGGTCATGGCCGTCCAAGAGGCAAACGAGGAGCTCAGAAGAAAGCAGGTCTGGAATGCGGGAAAGAGACGTGCATCTGGTGTGCATCTCCCGGTGTTCTGCAGGCGATCGGAATCAACAAGGTTCTCACCCACCTGGGCGCTGTTGTGAACAACCTCAATGCAGGCTCCTCTCGGATGGGGGGGGGAGCGGCGGAGCGGATGGGGGGTCTGCCCTGTGACCCTGTGAGGCTACGAAAACAGCACGGGCTTCCGGAACTCAGCCCTGACCATGCTCTTGAGGTGCCGAGTCGTCGCAGATTTGTGAGACGAAGCTCCCCTTGTCGAAGCCCCCGGCCGCAGGGACTGCCTGGGAGGCGGCGCCCGGGCACTGCTCGTGGCGAACATCGGCCCCGAAGCCGACTGGTCCAGTGAAACCGCAATGACACTGAGGCGCACCGCAGCTCACAAACGTCCCTGCAGCCTCCTTTTAAGCTCTCGTCTCTCAGGTTTGCACAGAAGATGATGAAGGTGAAGAACGTAGAGCAGAAAGTGGTCATCGATGCCTCCCAGAGCCTTGGCAGCGTGCTTCTTAGTCGCGGGTCGCCGGCACGATGAGCAGACTCGAAGGAGTAATCTGGTGCAGATGCGGAAGCGGCCAGAACCTGCCTGTTTGCAACGCCACCCCTGCTGCGCACGTTGGGAGTGCTTCTTAGTGCCGTCTGAGTCTGTCTGAGTGTGCTGCTCTCATCTCGCTCGGCCAACGTGGATCGTTTGGGGCTCAAGCTGTTAAAGCTTGGGGGGATCATCCGGGGGCGCGCCTGTACACAGAGCCTTGCCCTTTTGAATAAACCGCTGCCCTCTTGGGCCCCCTTGAAAAGCTTCTTGGCCAAAGACTGTAGAGTCTGTAGAGCATGCATTATTCAATCTTTTTCGTTTTTTGCAGGAAGCAAATTTGAACATTTCCCCAAGGTCACTGCTCACATTCGTCCAGCATGAGCAGTCTGCGCCTTAAACCTGCCCTGGGTGATTTTTGCATGCTTTCGTTCAAGGGAGTTCAAGGGAGTTTCGCAGGCTCACGGAGCCGCAGCCCAAGCTGCAACAGCGACCTCAGCTGGGAGGAGGTGCCATGGAAAGCCGCAGGAGGGTCATACGTAGCTACATAGCTGGGAGAGATGTGTGAGTTGCAGTAGTGAGTAGGTGAACTTCGCGGAATACGAAGAGGCCACTCCTTTCCACCAACTGAAAGTTTGAGTGTGTGCAGAGTTTTAAGTCTCGACGCTTTCACTTTCAGCTCTCCGACGATGACTTGCGCGATGCTGTCGTGGTATCTTCACGAGGAGCGGCCATGTTGGGAGCAGCCTTAGGCCGCACAAGAAAAGGGAAAGCACGCAAAGGCATATTGTCTGTGGCAGCAAGCTGTGGGATGACAGGCAACCTGCACAAAATGCCTGGAATTTGGGAAAAGCATCAAGTGACTTCGCACGGCATGCAAAGAACAATTCCAGTTCCTGTTTGGCCTTCTTCTATTTCAAACATGACAACGCACGATTATCTGTCATCACAGAGGGCATGTTGCTGCAGCCCGAAGGAAGCCAGTCGTTTTGCTGTGTCTTCCCTTAGCGATTTGCCTGGCTCGTGCCGGGAATGCCAGCAAACTCAGCACAGCTCGGCCAGAAGCTACGCCAGCGGCACCACGTCCCGATGAGACCCGACCCCTGGCAGCAAGAGCACCCGCTTGCGGCGAGAGCCCATAGCTTCCTGGAGCCTTTCGAAGCGCGCGCCCTTCTGACTCTGAGGCTCCGTGTCCGAGGCAAGGGCAGCGCCGGCTTTGAGCGGTGGTCCGTACAGTCTGTGAGAAGTTGAAGGCTCCTGTGCTGTCGGCAGGAGTCTGAGAGCCCCACAGTTTCGTCAAGGCAGATATAAGAATGCTCCAGAAGGTCTCATGACTACTTTCGGATCCATTCGTGCAGGGACGGCTCTGAGACCCCGCAAACTCCGACAGAGGCCTAGACCTAGCAGCGACAGCAGCGGCGCGCATGCTCTGCAGCCCGTCGCGGCGAGAAGGTGCAGTACTTCGACCTGACCAAGCAGCCGGTCTTCACCCACCCGAACGCTGCCGCGCGCATTGTCCAAGCTTGGTGCTTGCCTTAGTTAGATTGGATGCAGTGGAGGTGGACCGGTGTGGTTTCCGACGGCCAGGTGGCGCACCATGCGTTGTCCATCGATTCACCTACCTGACGAGGACCTTGTGCCATCTCGTGCCTTGTTGAAGTGAGTTGGATTCCTGGATGTCCACACTTCCGTCGGGATCAGAGCCTCAGCGCGTTGGCAGGAAGATGACGTCATCGAAGAGTTAGCATGCGGCTTTGCTTCTGCGCTGCGGGAGCTGAGTGTAGGTGAAGCAAAGCATGGCCGCTGCAGAGTCAGAGGCTCAAGCAGACCAAGCATGCAAGCACATGGGAGCCATGACGCTGCCCCTGGCCTTGGAGAAGCCATTCGGGTCCACATCGAGGGTCAGGGAGATGTGAAAGGCCGGGTCCGTGAGGGCGTCGCACGCTTTCTGGGCATCCCCTATGCCGTCGCCGAACGCTGGAAGCCGCCCCAAGCTCCGCCTCCCTGGCGTGAGCTGAACCACAAACTGGCACGATGTCCTCAGCCAGGGCAGGCAGGCAAAACCTACGAGGGCTATGCCCTTGAAGATGACGAGGACTGCTTGCAGCTGAACATCTGGACACCGCTGAGTGCCTTGCAAGACAGCACCCCGAAGTCGCCCGTCCTGGTCTACATCCATGGCGGCGGAGGAAAATCGCATTCAGCGCATTGCCCTAGGGAAAGTGGCCACCAGCTCGCCCTCAAGCAAGGCACCATGAAGGGATCCAGAATCCACATATCTCGTCATACTCCCCACGTCGCACCCACGGCAGTAAAATCCTCTTGAACAGAGGCCTCTGCTGCGTCAACATCAACTACCGCCTCGGGATCTTCGGTTTCCTTGCTCACCCGGAGCTGTCGCAGGAAGACCGGGAGAGCATGTCGCGTGGGAGCGAAGCAGGAACTGATGGCGCCGTTTCGTAGTCGTAGTAGTGGTTTACTATTCCAAGACGCATCCTGTCCCGTGTGGACTTTGACTGTTTGAGGCAACTCGTGTGATCAGGATCAGGGAACTATGCGATTCTGGATCAGCTCTGTGCATTGAGATGGGTGCAGCGCCACATTGACAGCTTCGGCGGAGACACCTCGAATGTGACGATTTGGGGCTTATCCTCCGGCGCTCAGTATGTCTCGACTTTGTTGGTGTCGCCTGCCGCTTCGGGGCTCTTCCACAAGGCCATGGTCCCCCGGAAGGATTCAACTCTTCGGTGTAAATTGGCAACAAATAAACCGTAGGTTGTCGCTAGCTGAAGTGTCAGAGATATAGTGTGACGGTGAAGACTAAGTGGGCTACCCGACCTGCTGCCCCTCTTGGACAACAGTACATTTCTCGAACGACTTGCGCTCACCAGTAATTGCACCGGTCACATGTCCTGTGGACGGTGACCCGTGTATGGGTGTGATGCCAAGGTGCAGAGCTGCGCTGACCTGAACAACGTGCGCCAGCTAGACTCCTCTTGTGACGTGTGGCTTGGCAGGGAGCCAGAGAGTCGCGAAGAATGCCAGCCTTTCGTGCTCATACCCCCTGGCCGCCCCGCCTGGGCTGGCTTTTACTTCTCAGGTGGCTGGGGAAGACGGCCGAGGCTTGGGGCGCGAGCCTGGCGGAGGAGACTCCGTGACAGTTTGGCCGGAGGAAAGGATGCGACTTTGTCTGTGTTCGCTTCGCCATCCGCGTGCAGGAGCTGGGCTGTGCGCCTGGGCCTGGTCAGCTGGCGGCCATGCGCACGCTGCCGCCCGCGGCTCTGGTGGCCAAGACTTGGGCTGCCTCGGCCAAGGACTGCTACGAGCCAAGCATCGACCGAAGGGACCAGGCGCTCTCCGTGAAGCCTCGATCCTCTGTGGAGGCATTGCAGGAAGGCAGATATCCGAAGGTACAGGTGCTTCTCGGTGTCACGGAGCGCGATGGCTTGGGCAAGGCACCAAGGTAGAGATGTATTCGAGTTTTGTAGGTGGAGACTACTAAATCAAGATGAACTCGACGGACTCCCGTCAAATCCCTCAGCAAGAGGAAAACCCGTGCAACCCGATCAGCCGAAGAGCCCAAGAACAAACCCTAAACCCCAAAAACCCTCCAAAAAAAACCCTAAACCCTTGCAAATAAACCCTTATGAACCCTAAACCCAAGAACAAGGGCAGCCCTGAAGGTGGAGCTGGAGCAGACGCTCTTCCAGGAGGTCCGGAGCCGTTCGGAGCTCGAGGCTCTGTTGGCCCGAAACTTCCCGGACTCCGGGCCGGAGGCGGCCCTGGCCCGATACTGGGCTCTTCTTGGGGCTTTTTGGGGGTTGTTTGCATTTTTTTTAGAATTTAGGGTACCATAATAAGGAAGCCATTTTATAATTACTATATAGATCCCTATATATATACTATGGTAACCCAAAAATATAAACTCCCTTACCGTAACAAGAGTTCAGGATACTGGGCTCCCAGGGAGCCGAGCCAAGAGGGTAAGGGTCAGGAGCCGAACGAGGCGAAGAAAGTGCACGAAGCGCTGGGGAAGCTGAGCAATGATCTCTGGTACCTTGGGGACCAAAGGACCCTTAAACAAGTAGGCCAATGATCTCTGGTACTTTGGGGACCGAATGACCCTTAAACAAGCAGGGGCCCCATACATGTCTACCAGGAATCCCTATATGGTGTATGAACCTTAGACCCTTTTAGGGTTCATTTCGTCCTTAAGGTACTTTGCAGGCAGCTACTACATGAGCCAACTGCTGGCACAAGAGACCACCGTCTATTGCTACTCCTTCGCCGGCTTGAAACATAGTGCCCATGGAAGCGATGCTATGTATTGGAGGGGAATGGTCAAAGGAAGTCTGCCTGTCCTTATGTCCACTTACCTTGGAAACTTTGCGCGGTCGGGGGATCCGAATGGATCGGATCTCCCTGTCTGGAAACCGGGATGTCGTTGTCAGATGCATCTCGGAAGTCACCCCGCGATGCGGCATCTTGAGACAGAGGCCTTGGAATGGTACGAGTTCCTAGCCAGGGAGTACTTTTCCAAGGTGATCCTTCAAAGAGTGTCGGTCGGCACTGAGCCTGGCGAGTGCCATGAGGTGAAGCGCATGCGCGTCCGAGATGAGCAAAACCGTTCGTGGCCGATATGCGGCTTTCATATGAGCTGAGTCTATATAAGAGGGCCAACAGCCTTGTAGTCGCATCTGCCCTTAGGCACCCCCCAGCGGCGAAGGCTCGGAAGGCTTCCTGTGAGGATTCTTCGCTGAGTGGCTGAGTGGAGTCTTGCAGGTGTTGCTCTGCGTGCCCTTGGTTCAGCCCAGTGTCTCGTCAGAGAGCTCCGAATCACTTTGCGGAGACTCGCACGTGCTCACTGTTCTGAGGTGGGACCTTTGGGAGCGACAGATGGAAGAGGACTGCGACACTGAAGCAGCGCTTGCTTGCCTGCGCGCCATGCGCGCGAGCGCCTGTTTCCTTGAAAGGACATGCCGCTGATTTGGGAGAACCTTGACAGGCTGAGAGCTCAGAGGCAGGCAGAGGGCGGCACGGAGATGCGACCTTTGTTTTGGCTTAGGCGCTGGCTGATCTACACGATGCTCCTCTGGCTGGTCCCTCCCTTAAGCCGCCAGTCTCCGGGTCCTTCCAGTCCCTCGTAGCCTCTCTGGTCAGGTTCTGACCTTCTCCTTCCAGTTTCACATGCCCATGGCTGTGGCCCGGAGCCGAGCCGCCCGCCCCCTTTCTTGGTGTCAAATCCTCTGTGCTTCGAGGCCAACTCCTCCAGTGCTGCCCAGGCCAGGGTCGCGGTCTCTAAGACTTATAGTTTTCTTTTCGAGTCTTGCCTGCCGAGAGCTCGAGGCGTCCAAGACTCCCGTGGTGCAGCTCCGCCGACCCACTTGGAAGATTAGCGATAAACCCGCCGTGCCTTAAAAAAAAGGCACCCCGGACATTCCGGGGCCGTGTGCCAGGTCCAAGTCTGCCTCGGCCATCAACGCTTCGAAGAAGCTCCTCTTGTCCGGCCCCCTTTTTGCTGAAGCCGTGTGCCGCGCGCCTGCGTACGGTGCCTTTTTGTGGACCCTCCCCGCCGCGCGGCATCGCAGGCTGCCGAAGTATCAGATCCCAAACTTGGGATCCAGCCTCTCCTATCGACTCAAGAGCTGCTCGGCGCAGGGGGGGCGATCGGCAGAGAGCCCTTTGAGTTTGAAGTTTTCAACCGAATTTTGAGGCAACTGGACGGCGGCTATCAAAACGCAGACAGCCTTGGTCAAGGACTCAGACCTGCGACTACCACTCAACTGCGAAGCTTCTTGAAGTGTCAGGTTATTCGGGTGAAGACCCGCCTTGTTGCCGCCACGATCACGGATGTTGCGGAGGTTGGCCATCTACTTGCCCCTGACCTAGTGCCTGCTTCGAAGTTCAGTCAGCTGAGTGAATGAAATGGCCTCCGACCGGACGGCCCGCAGTAGTGACCCAGTACAACTATCATAAGGGCCCTGATAAGACTGTACCATCCCTTTCTGACGTGCTCAGGGCGATGCGGAGAGCGCTTGGCTGAGCGAAGCCAAGGTGAGCGAGCCTGTGTGTCTGACGGTGCGCATGTATGCATAGCACATAGCATGTGATGCATTGAGCGTGCGTGTACTGTATGCATTATGTGCGTATACAGTGTATATGATATAAATACTATGCATTTATGCAGTGTATGTAAAGATACAACTACATATATATTAATATATACACACCAGTGTGGGCAAACATAAATAAATAGATATATAGATAGCTGACTAACTAACTAACTAACTAACGAACGAACGAACTAACTAACCAGCTAGCTAGCTAGCTAGCTAACTAACTAACTAACTAACGAACGAACTAACTAACCAACTAAACAAGTAACTAGATACACACACACACATATACATACATATATATATATACATCTATATATGTATATATAGTGTTACATACACCTACTTCTTCTACATATATATATATACATACATACACATACATACTCACATCATTTGGTGTGTCTCGCTCGCTCTCTCTCTCTCTCTCTCTCTCTCTCTCTCTCTCTTCAACGTGCATCTAGGAGTGTGGGAATGCAGAATGATGGAAGTTAAAAGGCAGTTTGCAGCGGACAAACACGGGTGATTTGGAAAGTAGGTTACAGTGTTGACGTAGAGTTGCTGACTGTCTTAGTGGCGACGTGCAGTACCAGTACTTACCAGCAAGTCCACAGAGCCTGTGGATTCAGTGCAAACTGCAAGCTGTCGGGTTTGGTGAACTTTGCGACTGCGCGATCTCTCGAAGTTGCGCAGGTGCGGCTGGCACTCGGCACCGGGAAGGCCGTTCTTCCCGGCAAGAGTCGGAGAATTGCTGGGTGGGGTCTGTCCGTGCCTGTGAGGCCATCTGGTCACGAAGAAGCGAGCTCGAACCGAGCCTTTGGCCATGGAGCTTTCCATCGCCCCGGCGCCCCTCCTCCGTGGCAGGAGCACCGACCTCCGTGAGCAAAGGCCCCCAAAGCACAGGGCCCCCCAGGGCCCCACCTTGCAGGACTCCTTCCGCCACCAAAGCCCGTGAAGCAGGCGACTGCTGCAATGGGACTTGGAGTCGTTCATTGAAGTCTGGACAGGGTGCGGACTTCAAAGTGTGGTGGTGGCTGTTGCGGCAGAAGGCCTGTTTCTGCGGGTATGGATTCAGTCTACGAAGCTGACACGAGAGCTGGCAAGTCTTGCGAGATTGCCGGGGAGATTATGGAGACTTATGCGAAGCGCTGGCCTCAAGGTAGAATTCGGAGCCCCTTGAGAAGCAAATCATGCACAACAAGCTGCAGGCTGCCCTGCCTCACCACTCCGAATGCTCAAGTTCCGTTGCTGACCTGGACGCCGCAGCCAAAGACACTGAAGCTACTTCCACTGCTCCAGCTTCAACCAGACCTTCGCATCGCGCCCAAGCTATTGCTCATGGTCCGTCCAAGCACTTCCTTGACCACTCGAATGTGCGGCTCCCAAAGGGGTTGTTTCGTGGCACACTCTATACAAATCTTCACGATGGCAATACCTGATAAGTACGCATTTCAATTGACATGTCCACAGGTTCTTCAATCAATGGCAGCCGGAGATGCCTGACATGCTGCCCGCGGCCCCTCTGCGTCCAACCCATCTTCCTTGTGCAGGGCCCTCAAAGTCCGCAGATTAAAGAATTAAAGTGATGGCGTCTCCGACTCTGGTGACTTGAGCCGATTGCCAAGCAGGCTTTTCCTTTGCGTGGGTGCTGTCAGCTCGCCCGTGCACCGGGCTTTAGGTGGTTTTTTCGGAAACAGTGGCAGGCAGAGGGAAGAACTTGAACAGCTTTGCAGCCAGAGGATATGAAAATGCCTACAACTTTCCAACGAGAAGTGGGGCCCTGATTGCAAGAGCGACGTGTTTTGTGGGGGTGACAATTAATGGGAGGCAACGGAAAACACAGGAGTGTCAAGGGCGAAGGCAGTAGAACCCCAAGCGGCAAAGGCTCGGAAGATCCTTTCGCTGCTTTTGACGATCAACTGTCTCCGTAGTTCAAGTGGGTGCCTGCAGGAGTACAGAAGTGTCAACATGAATGTCTGCTGCGTCATCAAGAGCCATCAAGAGCCTCTCGTTATGACCATGAACCTGTCCCAGAACATTCCAGCACCTAACTGCTTTGAATGTCCCTGCTCAGTTGGACTGCTTGGCTGCTGTCTCCCACAAGGCTCGGCGCTTGGCCAGTATTCAGCTTGCCTTGCCCTGGGGAGCCCGTGCTGTGGTTGAGGGGCATCTCCCCGCAAGGTCCGGGTTTCAACTTTTCTGGTGACGGCAGCATTCACAGCGATCTCGAGAGAATCATCGCTTCTACAATCACGAGCACCAGCAACAGCTGCAGCAGCAGCACCAGCAGCAGCAGCAGCGACACCACAACCACGATCAACACGTCGGTTCACGTTGTGGTATCGTCGTGACGGAGACGAGTCGGAGAGCAGGAAAAGGAGCAGCAAGGAGGAGCCTCCGGAGGAGGAGGAGCACAGTCTTGGTGCCGGTGTTGACGATGTTTCAGTGAGTCCGTAATGGGGACGTTTTCATGGGTGCGTGGTCGCATGTAGAGAGCAGGCCACATTCTTCTGCAATCGTTGTGTTTCGTGGCAGATCGGGGTAGCCTATGCCTTTTGCAAGACAGCACAAACAGGCTCAATTGCTCACGTTCGCCAAACGCTGCAAAACGCGACAAACGCACTCAACTGTGCTGGTTTGCCTTCGTTTCGTCGTGCTTTGCCACAGGCTCGGCTAGGTTCCTAAGTAGTACTCTTTTGCCCTTGTTATGGTATGGTTCCCTTACTAAAGCTAAGTAACAGCAATATAAGGGTACCCTTAGTATCTAGTGGTCACTCAGGAGCTGTTGCTGTTGTTGTTGTTGTGGTGGTGGTGGTGGTGGTGCTGGCGGCGGTGCTGGCGGCGGCGGCGGTGGTGGTGGTTGCTGTTACTGTTGCTGTTGCTGCTGCTGCTGCTGCTGCTGCTGCTGGTGCTGTTGCTGTTGCTGTTGCTGTTCTTGTTATTGTTCTTGTTCTTCTTATTGTTCTTGTTTTTTTGTTATTGTTCTTGTTATTCTTATTCTTTCTCTTGTTGCGATTTGTTGTTATTGTTATTGCTTTTGCTTTTTGCTTTTTGCTATTGATACTGCTGTTGCTATTGCTTTTGCTATTACTATTGCTATTGCTATTGCTATCGCTGCTACTGCTGCTGCTGTCGTTGTTGTTGCTGCTGCTGCTGCTGCTGTTGCTGTTGCTGTTGCTGTTGTTGTTGACGGTTGCGGCGATTCGAGGAAGTTTGAGAGTCAGCCAGCATCATCTCTAACGGCTTGTTGTATTTGTCCTTTGTCTTTTCATTCCTGTCACTGTCGATGTCAACATAAGCACCCGCAGCATCATCGCTCAGCACCACCGACAGCAACCGCACCCGAATGATTACTCTATGATTATGGTCACCATCATCATCATCATCATCATCAACAGCAGCAGCATCACCATGAGCGAGATCATCACCGTTATCACCAGGTTCGACAAATCGTTGTCATTGTCATCCTCATCTTCGTCATCATGTTTACCATAGTCACAATCGTCATCACCATCACCACCACCATCATCGTCATCGCCATTCCTCATTCACACCATCGGCATCACCATCACATCGTGAGCCATAATGTAGTCGGTTCGTAGGATCCAGCTGCAGGTCCAGGTGAGCCCGGCATACCCATTGACCATATACAATGCAAACGCCTGCAGCTCAGTTGTTGAAAGCTCTGCCATGAGAATCACGGTATGCGTTGTTGGCGAAGTGACCGGGTGGTGGCAGCATCATGAAACTACTTTCCTAGAGTGCGCAGCGGACTGCCCCGGTTGCGCTAGTGGCGGAGGCTGTTCTGCCTGTGGTTTAAGCATTGCACTCTTCAGAGACTGATTCGTTTTGGGCAGCGCTTGGAGCGGCTTGATTCGTTTTGGGCAACGTTTCGGGACGCCTGGCAAGTCTGGAAATCCATACCATGGAAGTGGTATATAACTTTTCCTTTGGGTTCCCCGCTGAAGTTCCCGAGGCCACGAAGAGGAAGGCTGAGAAAGAGAGGCGGCCCCGGGCTCTGATAAAACGGCGAGAAATTCGGCTCGCAAGGATTTTTCTCTTGAGGTTTCTGCTACCAGGACCCTCCAAGTGCCCTCAAATAATGGTATATATGGTCCAAATTAAGGGTATTTAGCGTCTAATAGAGAGTAGATGGAGGGTCTAGGTAAAGCTGCGCTTTCGCAGACGGACGGAGGGTATGCGTCGATCAGCGACCTGGGATCGAAGCTAGCGCTCGTGACCTTAAAGCTGCCTTGCCTCCACGACCATACGAAGGGCTCTGAGAAGGCGCAGTCTCGAGCCCATTTTCGAGCTTTTCTGCCAGGCGCGAGAGCCATGCTGGTGCCAAGCGCCTGCAGAAGGGCCTGCGCAAGGCCCCGTTTCCGTCTACCCTTACGTGGGACTCATCACCCCCCAGCGTTTCCTGATTTCTGATCGAGGCGAAGAAGAAGGCGGAGGGGATCCTCGAAAAGTCCAGGATGCAGGCTCTGCACCACCTGGAGAAGGCTCCATTGGCTGCCGCTCCTGCCTTCGATCGCCAGAGTAAACAGCAATGTAGAAGTACGCAGTAGTACAGTACTGTCTAACAAGATATGTATATGTATATATATATATATGCACACGTAGAAATAGTACTATCCAGTATATCCGGGTAGTAATTTGTACAGTACATGGTGCTTGCAAGGCTCGCAAGGCCTTCGAGAGGAAGGCGGACCTTGCCCCGTGTTGTGATACTTGTGATGCTTTACGACATATCCCAAGGCTCCACAAAGGACGCCCTTCTTTTTCCTTGTGTTCTTTTGCCAGGGCTGCCTTCCGTTTCTCGCTTTGGGTCACTGTAGAGATTCTGGAACTTCGGCCTATGCTAGACTGGAAGAAAGAGTGGATTCGTAAGCACCAGTGGAGGTGGAATATGCTCGACTGGCTGCTGGCGGATGCATGGACTGATTCGTGGCAGCCAGAGGCTCAGCATGGCTCGGCACTCTTCCTCTTCGAGCTTCGCCCTTTGCGAGACGGGTGCTGGAAGTGCGCTGAAGTGCAGGACGCATCTAAGAATCTAAGGTGCCATAATGTTGTGCCCCTTTCCCCAGTGGACTTCCTGCAGAGGGCTCAGTTGCAGAGTGCCTGTAAGCCTATTGCGATCGTCGGACTGATCTATCAAGGTTATGGCAACAACATATGAATTATATATTGCATGGGCAGGACCGCAGTATGCCCAGTGTCGCAACCTGCGCAGACGCCTGGTGTTGTTCGGCTATGTTCGGCTGCATGCAGGACTGGAGCCTCTGGACGTCGTTTTCAGCCTGAGCTGCAGTCTTGCGGTGAAGAGCCCCGGGTGAAGACCGTGTGCATGTCAGAGTGTCACACGTGACTCATCCTGGCCTCTCCGCCGTGTACATAGCCTATACTATATCATTTATCCCAGAGCCTTGCGCTGCCAATCCCTGCTCCTGCCGTGAGAAAGCAACATGCTTCGCTAAGCTCGGTGCAGCAGGTCCGCACGACTCACCAGCCGCATGACCGCATCCCCTCGCAGAGCGCCAGGCATCAAGCCTGCTTGGCCCGGCTGCAGCAACACGCGGCGGAGGAGGCCGAGCAGGATTTGGAGGCTGCGGCCTTGGCTTCCGAAGGTTGCGAGGGCTCCGGTCCGAGGGTCAACAACAATGCATCCCAGGAGCGCGCGGCGCTCGACAAGGAGATCGAGGAGCTGAACCAGCGCCTTCTCACGAAGTGTCTTGGCCCATCACTCTCGGCCCTACGGGCCCCTTGAGCTTTCGACTATACCGACTTTGCGGAGTGTGGAGCGACGAGGCATTGTGCGATTTAACTTTGGTGATCCGTTGTCATAATATGTCTACATAGAGTGCATTTCGTGTCAGCCAGTGTTCAGCCCTTACGGTTTTTGTGGTGCAGAGTTTCCGTGACGAAGGGAAAGTGCGTCGGACATCCTCGAGAAGATGCAGCAGGAGCAGACGAAGCGCCCTGGCCAAAAGGATTTTCTGGGAGCCGTTGAAATAAACCTCGACCTGGCAGAGGAAGATGGAAGAGTTCCGGACCCACGTCACCGAGAACATGGCGAAGCAGTTCGCCGACATTCAGGATCGCCCCCCAGGGAATTGGGGTGGATGCAAGTGGGATTCTGATGATCTTGCTGTGTCACCACGGCCCTTGGTCAGGAAGAGTCGCAGCAGCAGATAGCAGGCCGGAGCCGGAAGGAGCTAGCATCAGAGAGCGCGCCGGGCCCCCCCCCCCCCCCCCCC